AAACTTTGCCGCTTTTCTTAATACAATCATCAAAAATCCTCCGATCGGGACATCAGTTCATTTTTTCTGGGAACTTCCTTTCATTTTTCAACTAGTAGTTTGCTACTTCACTTGATGATTGAATTCCTCGATAAAGACGTCAATTAATCTTATTGGGTTCAGGGTAATTCAATCCTGCAATAGACGTATCATTTCATCTTTTCCGGGGTCTCCCTTCACTTTTGCACCAATCGTTTACTACTTTGCTTGATGATTGAACTCCTCCATTCGTTGTGTTTCTTATCAATTATGTGGCTAAGTTCATAGGTGTATTTAATGTGGAGAGCGTAGTCTTTTTCTTTAACTGGATTAAAATTTTTTATAAAATTTTAATGTTATATAGGTAATATAACATGATTTAATCCTTTGGTATTGTTCGTAATATTTATGTATACTAATTTTATTTAGATTTAAGAAGTTAAAATTGTTATTTGTTAGAATCGTTATATATAGTAATGATTTTTTTTCTTTTTAGCATCGTAATATCTGTGAAAATTTAGATTTAAAACAGATCGTGTTTAACAAATAGGCAAAGAGTCCGAAAAAGAAAATAGTACTCGTATATAACTTTTTCTTTTGTTTTCACTGAATTTTGAAAACTGTTTAGTGAAAATTGAAAAGCGAATCCCAATATAAGTGAAATGAACTCAATATTGTTGCAAGTTAGCTGTAAAGTAAGCCAAAGACATTTCATTAATTCATTCATTCATATCGACCAATAAATTTCCGAGAAGTGGCGAAATTGCGGGTGTTGTTGTCATTGCCACACTTAACTAAACGCAAGAAAATATCAGAAGGAAAATGTAAAGAAAAAACTACATACAAGTACAACATTAACCGAATATGGACTTTTTGGTTCCAATAGCCAACTGCAGCACCATCATCAGTACCAAGATCAACTGACAACATAACCACCGGCCGGCAGCAAAGCACTGTCACACCAGCCACAACAAGTGGTTTTACACTTTTCAATCAAATCAACTAAACACACAAAGGCATAAACGTGCCATATTTGCGGATCATGGACATATTATTGGGACTGGTCCGAGCGTGTTATTTCCTCCATAATTAGTCATATTTGTTTAGCATCAAATGTTAAATAAATGTTTTTGTTTTTCAATTATGTTGGCCGTTTTTATGATGCGCTAAGCAAATGTTGCGAGCAACAAACAACAAGTCAGTCACAAGCCACAATATGGACGTCTTCTGCGATAAATGCACAACAAATTGTGTCCAAAGTCTACTTACTATATACACAATCGCCAACATTTCCTTGACATTGCCGTTTGTTCTTTACTACTCGCATTAATAAAAATAATAATAAATTTTATGCAATTTTCACTAACTTTCGCTTTTACTTCGGAGAATCTTTCATAATGCGTTATTACTTATTTCGCCGGCGAAACTTCGACTACTTCTAAATTGGAAATTTTCGGGCACATGCAAGAATGTCTCCAAACGTACTTCCATAATTAAATCAAAGAAATTTCGAACTGAAATAAATTTATTTGAAAATTACAAATTCCGTTCAGCAAACTTCAAAACCCAAAACAAAGTCAATTTTCACCTCCTCCGTTTGTGTTTCTGTGCAGTTGTTTTCGCTTATTTCAAATGCTGGTCAGGTGGCCGGTCAATGTGACATGTCGCAGACCGCGCACAATAGACTGCCAACCCAGAAACTGGGCCAACAACTCCAATATAACCACGAACAATACATATTGAAGGCAATTATTAATAAAAAAAAATTATTAATTTAATGCTTCATTATAAAATTTAAAAAAAAATTTGAATTCATAATAATAATTAAATGATGTAAGTTCTTTTGAGGTGAATAGTCTTTTTTGTTCGCTTCCTGGTTGAATTATTGTACAATTGATTAGTTTATATTATATAAGGATGATTTTTATTTAAAACTAATTTCATTGGTTTTGAATTTAACATTTATATTAACTTTCTGGAAAGTGACATCTATGCTTCAAAATATATATATAAATATATATGCCCCACTATATAGCTAAGTATCAATTTGATATTAGCAGTTTTATTATGAGCACTTACTTGAATTTTAAGTGATACTTTAGTTCTTAATATTGAGAACTTAAGAGTCACTGAAATATCATTTTAATCATTTTAAATTAAAACACAAGGTTTGCCTAGTAATTAAGAGACATAGAATAAAAAAAGTTCTTAATTTTAAATTCAAGTAATAACCTATGTGATTTTTTCAGTACTTTCATTTATTTGTAATTATAATCTTCACTTTAGTTTTTACATTGTATCAACCATTAAAGTGGTGAAAAGCCTTACCGTTAATTAAACAGTACATTGAAGAACTGACACTAGGAATATAGGAATAGGAATGAACTAGGTGCCAGCTCCCAACGGAGCGGAGCACTGCGATCTTGGTTGATCTTTTGTGCTGCAACAGACTCTAACCGAACTGAAGACATTCCGCCTTCCAATTGAAAGCCAGAATGTGAGCCGTTGAGGACCTCCAAATGTCAGAAGGAGAGGCAGTTCTCGACCCAGTGACCGGGCAGTTACAGAGAATGTGACTGGAAGTCTCGTCTGCTTCCAAGCAGAGTTGACAATCTATTTCTTCGGACAGACCCATTTTGTTAAGGTGAAGTCAAATAAGTCAAGTGGTACTAAGTTAAGTAGCAAATTCAAAATTTAATCATAACAATTAAAAAATGAAAGTTATTGAATTAGTATGTAAACATTACTTATTAAAGTAGGAAAATATGATGAAGCCGTTTTTCTTATGTGAACTGATTACTGAATTATAAGTTTATATAATAACTATATTAGGAGAATAGAAGTTTGACATGTACCTAAAGGACTTGAGATTTTCTTTGTAATCATCAGGTTACAGCAACTCCAATTACTGTAATAAGTCACACTTAAGTTACTTACAACTTATAAGTGTCTTACTCGTATACTTAGTAACTTTTAAGTTAAGCAATAGGTTAATAATAAGTTAAGTGAATTTAAAGGGTATGTGTTAACAAAAATTTCAACATTTTCACTTGTAGACATTGATTACCCATTATGATGTCCTTAAAGTTACAATAGGTACGTAAATTACTTTTTCAATTCAACATTTTCAATATAGAACCTTGAGTTATTCTTGCTAAAACAATTAAACTTCCAGGAAAAGTTAAGGACAGCAGATAAATCGAAATTCGTTATATCTACCAGATCAGTAAAGAAATTGTGAAGAAATATGCCATACAGTCCTAGTGATCTTACAAAACCGTCATGAATTGTGATCAATGTTTCTAAATAATTTACACATCGATGTTTGTATTGAGATGTCGACTGTATTTATGTCTTTTTTTCAGCCTCTTATGAACCTCTCAACTACTGGTTTGTTTCCAACGATATCCCTATGTCTGGGAAGCCAATAATGCAAAACTAATAATACAATGAATTCAATATTCATTAGTAGTAAGCTGCAACATTTCATAACGATGCTCAATGTGTGCGAACTAAGTTTAATTGGTCTTATGAATGTTGGGACATCTGAAGGGATATATAAAAAAAGCGACATCCGAAAGTCAAAACGTAATAGCTTGTGTTAGTCTTAATAATTTTTTGTTCGCAAATATCTGAGCTTCAAAATCCTGAAAATATTAGTATCATTTACCTGCATATCTTTTGAGCAGATATGTGTCCCGTACCTCTTTTCTTCTCTATCTTTGAGTAATTTAATAAACAGTGAAAATTACATATTTAGAATAGAACAGTAGAATGATTTTACAAAATTCTATTGTAATGAATCCTTTTTTAATGAAAAGTCATTCAAGTTTTCATCCAATATTGATCTACAAACCAAATAATAAATCGTTTTTCATTGGTCCGTCCTGAAAGCCATTGATGGTTACATTCCGATTTCTTTATTTTTTAAACAAATTTTGTAAATCATGTTAACAGTCTTTGCACTAAGAAAAGAGACAGGTCCACAAGTTATCCATATTGATAGAAGCCTGACTTGGAGCAAACATATATGTAGTAAGAAAACGCAATTGGAATTAAGGTTTAACCAGCTCTATTGGCTTATGAAGCCAAATAGTAAATTAAGTCTCGAAAACCAAGTCTTACTTTACAACTGTGTCATTAAACCTATGTGGACTTATGGAATTAATTTATGGTGCTCAGTTTGCTCTACAAATATTGACACGATTCAAAGAGTGCAAAACTTTATCACACGAAAAATAACGAGAACCCTGTGGTATGTACAAAACTCAAATATCTATAAGGATCTAACCATCCCACTAGTAAAGGAAGTTGCCTAAACATACATAGGCAAATATCTTACGAAACTTAGTGTCAGACAGTTGCTTCCAACATTTAGAACTTCGCCTCTATTGACCTGCTGAGTTCAATTTAAATTTATTATTATTAATATTAAAAATATGTTTTGATGATTTAGTACTTTACAGCTATTATTGCCGCACTTCTTATACCTATTGCTATGTAATCACTATCTCACTCTGATTTTTGTAAACTGTGCTATACTCCATAGGGGTACAGGATACCTCTATATCAGAAACTTCTTTGTATTTCATACTTCTTTCAAGGGTTATCAACAAGTATTTACAATAACAAAGAACATTTTTTAAATATCTTAAAGTATAAAAAAACAATGAGAGTTATAAAAATATTATTAACGTAAATTAACGTTGGGGTTAATTACAAAAATGTTATGTCATTGGGTTAATTACAGTTAACAAATTAATATTATTTAAAGACATATATAAAATAATAATATATAATAAAAAAAATTTAATAATTCATTGCAGTAGTTAGATTGATTTATGTTTGGTTTTAGAAGCTAATAGGACGAAACGGTTAAAATAGAAGAGAATCAAAACTAACTAATTTAAATAAGTTTTGTAGTGTCATTTATATATTTACTTCTTATAAATATGAACAATAGGACAGATTTTTATATTTAATTTTTTAATTTATATTTACTGTACTTAAAAAAAATATAAACAATTTAATTTATAATGTAGAAAGTAGTAATAAATACAAATATATACTTAAATAAATTCACACATATTATTTTAAATAAGCATTTCATACTACAAATATATACATATATTTAAAAATATATTAATTTATTGTAATGAATTAATCTCAGTTAAAAATAAAACTATTTTTTTTTATATAAATTCAATTCATTTTCTTCTTCATCGTCAGCATTTTGTTTCCGCTTTTGTTCACGGGCAAACAGTTCCTTAAAGGTTTCATACTCCACTAATGTAACATGGCATATTTTTGTAGCAAATGTTTTCTCTGACGTATCCATTATTTTATATAAACGATGATTTTTCGTTGGGATATTGGGATCAGCTTTAGGTGGACGTGGTATAAATAAACCTAATCGTACTAGAAAAATATGGCGACATTTAATTTCAGCGTATGTTTGTGACAAAGCCTGTGATTTTATAATTTCAGGAATTTCAATACGCATAATATCTTTAATATAATCAAACTTTTGTCTTATTGTTTCCGCATTCTGGTGTAACAAATCTGGAGAGTTCATAAGTATTTTCCATATATTTTTAGAGTTTCCAAAAAGTTCTTTTAAAACTGCGACAGTTACAGCTATTTGACTCCAATCGTTAACGTTCAGCAATTCTGGATATTTAGTTATAAGCAAGTGGAGTAGTTTTTCGCCGAACTGGCAACCACGCCAGCGTTCGATGCTCTCAATAATTTTTTGTGGTGAGCGTGTTAATACCGATGGGTTTCCAGTTACAATCCTAAGAAAGCCTGTCGTATTTATTCCATGATTAACAAATGTTTCATGTGATCGTCGCCAGATTTCTATAGGTGCTGAACTCAGTATTGGTGATAATTTAATGGCTTCATCAATGTGCGTTTGTTCAAGTGAGAAACTATCAAACTTTGAAGAGTTTTCTGTAGCTGCTGCATGCATGTACCTCAAATTCGGAAACTAAAGAAACCAAATATATTTAACAATATTGTCTTAATTTATTACGTATTTTCCATACATTTTGCACTCTTGCAATTTGTCTGCATTTTAATAATTTTGTAAAATAAGTTTGTAACATTTTGTTCAAGACAAATATTTACTATTGAAATATGTATAGCATTAGCTGGCGGTTGTAACAGCTGACACTTAGCAATGCTCTCAGCTGGTAAATTTATTATCGATAACAGTATTGCCGTAGACTAATAATAATTTAACGTCTGTTTCTGCACACATCTATTGCAAAATTCAACTACAAATTTGCTTGAATCTTATTATTTTGTGTTTCATTAAAAAAAACAACACTTTTAATTAGGTTTTTACATGAAAGTGTTTTCATAAATTGTACATAAACTGCTCTCCTGAGAGAAAAACATATTTCTTTATTATTTAACCGAAATGAGGTTCACGAAGCTTTCACTTTACCGAATTATTTCATTTTAATTCTTATCAGAAATTTGTCTTCTATAGTATTCTAATTACCATTGTTCTCATTTATTTATCTTAATAATTGAAGCAAAATATTTTAATTTATTTTGATATGTTAAATAACCTTTTGTTTGGATGAGAAATTATCAATAGTTACTTTCGGTGGCTCGCAAGTGTGACAAAAAATAGCAAATTGCTGGTCTATAGTTGCTTAAATGCACGCAAAATAACAATACTACTTTCTCTATCTAAGCAAGTAGTTGTGAAATGGCCAAATAGTTTAGCTAGTAAAGAAAAAGATGTTCCCAACGAAATAAGCGAACTATTGTGAACTTTCATTAGAAACTTCAACAAATATTCCAATCATATGTCAAAAATCATATGCAAAACAAAAATGCAAACAAAATTAAGAAGCTTGATAGATTTGATAATTGTGGATATGAAATATTTAAAAATGTGCAAAATTGTGAAAAGTAAATACTTTAAAAATATGCACATAAATATGTATAAAAACTTATAGGAGTACATGAAGAAAATATTATTGCAAATTGCTTTACAGTTTTTTACTTATTAGTTGCTAACTAATAATTATTAAGGCATAAATATTCTAAATTATTACAAATTTTATTGTAACGGGAAATTTGCTGCATTCTTAACATTGCTTTTAATTCATTATTCGTTTTTATTTTCAATTTTATGTTAATTACTTATTTCGATTAAAAATGCAGTTTGCTTGATTTATGTGCACATATGCAAGATTTGCTGTTCGTAAAAACATAACATTTGACAGATTGCAACAGTGATGCCAATGAAACAGTGATGCTTAGCGCCTGTAGGCCATTGAGTCGTTTTTTGTCACACTTGCAAACCATCGAAAGTACCTATTATCTAATGAAAAGTAATTAAAAATATTAGCGAAGTAACGCTATATTTTGATATAAAAACTTTGATAGAACAAACACTTTAGTTATCGTAGTACTAAATTTAATATATTTTTATTTTGCGCAAGGCAACACTGTTTTGTTCTGACTTCAACAGGCGTTTATTGTTAGGTTGTTTGTTTTGGTTGTTTTTCTGTTCAGCCGTAATTAGTACTTATAAAGATTTGTTAAAAGAAATTCTTCCAAATGTAAGTTAAAAATGTTAAATCGCATTTATTAATGTCAACATTTGTCTGTTAATCATTTCATTTGAAATAATGATAATGCAGGTCTGCCAGATTTTCATCTTATGGAAATTTTGGAACATATTTTACAAATAATAGGTAACAAGAGAGTTTTTCTATTATAATTAAATAATTGTTTTCTACTACGTAAATCTAAAATATTTGTAAATTTTTTAAATGCTGTTTGTGTTAATTTCGTTTTTATGCTTTTGTAGTAATGTTTATAATAGAATTTATATTTTACTTCACAAAAAGTACGAAAGTGTAACAATCTATGGATAAATTTCGGAATTTATTTTACAAAAATAAAAATAAAAAATATTTAAATTAATCTTATTCTGAAATTATAAATTCTGACGATCTGCTTTTATGTGTTTTTTTTCCTGCTTTATACAAGCAGTAACAATTTTTGAAGCAGTTACTGCTTTAACGTCTTTTTAATGCCAATGCCTGTTTGAGTCCGTTTTTGGAGTTTATTCCATTTAGCATATTTAAAACGATTCCATAGTGGTTTCTTCACTACTACTATTCACGTCTTTGACGTTTTTCTAGTACAGCTTTATACTCCTTTTTAGCTTTACAATATGGGATTTTGGCAATCACCGCATATATAAAATGACAAATCAATAATTCATTTAATAATGATTTGCTATGTTTAAGGAAACAATTTTATAGCTCTATTTTTTTTATCTATTTTTGCTAATTATTAACACATTATTCTTTGTGAATATCATTTTTTCTGAAGTACAATGATACCTTTTTATGAGTATAACTGCTGAATCTTATGACTTGTTTCTCATACGAAGAACGACGTCTTCTCCCTGCAGCATGTTTTCTCCTAACTCAATGGAAATCAAGATATAGCCATGTAGTAAACAGTTACCTGCCCAATTGAAGTGGCTAGACTTCTCCTCCTTAATTCTAGTTGATTTCAATTTAAATACCACCTACACCCAATCTATTCTTTTTTAATATTCAGCTGTCTGAGCTGGTGAATCAGCTCTATTTACTCTATTTTATCTGTGGACAGTTTTAAGTCACACTAAGAATAACTGAATGCGGGGCTTTATAATATGATGGATCTGATGTCTTTGTATCTGCCTGTGTTTATCAAATTTCGCTGTATTTTTAGGATGCTGAGTGTTGGATTATTGTGACTGTCAATTATATTGAACAGTTTCAGAGCACGATCTTTAATGTATTTTTCGACTGAATCGACTCTCAGATCTCTGTCATTTTTACTTTGCAATATATGAATAGGTGCATATGAATATATATATATATATATTATATATATTATATATATATATAAATATTATACTTTTATTTTAATTTTTATATTTATTTAGTTGACTTTTGTTTTGTTCATCCACAACAAAAAAAGTAAACAAAAATTAAAACTTCATGCAAAACAGAACTGCAACCTAAGACTTCGTAAAATAGACATTATGATTTTATTATTTCACTAAATGATTTCGAAACTATATAAATTTTTGTTACGATTGTTTTAATTTAGCTTAACAGAAGGTGTAGGTCTTATTTATGTCATAAACTCCCAGTGACACTGTTATATCCCCAACGTTACTCATTAACTCCCACTAGTATCCCGAGCTTTACTCTTGTGGTGTTCTTCAACAAGAATATGCTTCGAAACCGCCTTAACTTTTTTTAGTTTTTTAGATTTATATATGTATATTTTTTAACAAAATCTACAAATTGTATTATTACTTTGTTTTGAGTACGACTGATATATTTTTGTTGTTTTTCTTTTCTTTTTTCTTGACTTAAATTTTTCAAGAATGAACTTATTGATCTTTGTAGCATGTATCTACTTAATTATTATAATATATTTTAACTATTAACGTAAAGAAACATATGTATATACATATTTATATAAAGTAATCAACAGAACCAGTTACGCTAATCAAATTATAAGTGTATTTACTTTTCATATTTACTAGTATGGGCGTAGTCAGGAATGTAAACAGAGGGGTACCTAAGCAATTTTTTCAATTTAATATTATTTTTAAATAGAAATAGAATTCGACACGTTTTTAAGTATTATTTTTGTTTCAAAAAAATAATAAAATAATAAAAATAATATATCTTCAAATAAAAACCTTTTAAGTTGATTTTTTATATTACACATATTGCAATAAAAGAAAGAAGTCAATTTAATTTCGAAACGTAGACGATATCTATATATATATATAAGTAACTATATAAAATAAAAAATCAAAACTAACTAAAATGTTTTTAAATGTTAATTTTTGTTTTGCAGAAAGCGACGCGTTTTATGACGAAAAGATACTATTTAAAAGTTAGAACGGTTCGAATAGAAATGAAAAGACAACAACAAAAATTATAGTTAATTTTAATTTATTTGAGTATTGTTAAGTACTCGTCTTCAGTGGTCTTAGGAAATATTCGAACTTTTTAATTAGTTTATAGTTCGTATATAATTTGTTTGGACAAGTGCCAGATTGTTTATTCAAAAACTTACAGAAGCTTTTTAAAAACAAAAAAGTATTTATTTTTTGAACAGTAGTGAATTATAACAAATTTTTATTAGTTTTAAATGAATTGAAATAATCTTATCTAAAATTAAATTAATCTTATCTATAAATTAAATTATTCTATTAAAACAGTAGTTTCACACAATTGCACAATTATTTTCCTCAAATTTTTTGGGGCATTACCACAAGGGACCCCATAGTTTTTATGACAAAATAATATTTTGGACCAACATTAAGGGAATGCCATTTTCCCATTGGTTCCCTTAGCTACGCTCATGCTTACCAATCTACAAACCTGATGTTGCATTTGAGTATTTCTAACAAACAAACATTTACACTGCGATAAGGTGTACAAAACAGATAAGCTTATAACTTATCATGCACTCCATCAATAGTTTAACGTTAATGAAAATAAATATCGCACTTATAAAAATTCAATACAAACTATAAACGTCTTTTATTCATTTTTGAATAGTGATCCACTAAGCATGTCGGCAACACGTTGGGGTATTGTATCTGCGGGCAAAATAAGTCATGACTTTTGTGTTGCCCTAAGCACTTTGTCTTTTGATGAACACAAAATCGTAGCCGTCGCGGCAAGGGATAGGGCTCGTGCTGAGGAATTCGCTAAGAAACACAAAATACCAAATGCGTTTGGAACTTATACAGAATTAGCGGATTTTAAGGACGTTGGTAATTTTTAATTTATTTCCTCCCATATATAGACAATCTGTACATCACGATTTCTTTTTTTTTTTTTGTTTTCAGATGTGGTTTATATTGGTGCATTGAATCCACAGCATTATGAAATTGGTATGCTTATGTTGGAACATGGAAAACACGTTCTATGCGAGAAACCTTTGTGCCTAAATTTATACCAAGCTAAGAATCTTATACAGTATGCCGAAAGGAAAAAACTTTTCTTGATGGAAGCGGTTTGGTCTCGATTCTTCCCTGCCTATCAATATTTGCGTAAACAAATACAAACTGGAATGTTGGGTGAAATTCAAGAAGTAGAAGTATCATTTGGATTTTCCTTGATTAACGTAGATCGCTTAAGGTATTTATAAAAAAATTTTTATTACTTTACATACAAATAGTTTCGTCATTTGTTATTTGTAAAATGTTAGTACTAAGAGTCGCTTCCTCTTATTATTAGTTCTATATTGTTATTCAACTTCTTAATAAGATTTATTGGTTATATTGACTATTTCTTAGGTAGGTCTTAGGTCGATTAGTGTACATTTATTGTTGTATAGTCTATGGGTCATCATTGTGCCTTTCGCCGAGTAGTTTATTTAAATATGATATTTAAGTTAATATATCAGTATATTTAAATGTGTTGATATGAATATCAAATATTACTTAAATATTTATTATTTGTGTCAGTAATTTTTAATGTTGAGAAAATATGAAACTCTATTTTCTTTATCAATGTAGCAGTCGCATTGGCATTCAAGTTGCTATCAAAACACTTGTCTATGAAGCGATAAAGTCTAAAGCTATATCGTTTTATTGCTAACATCTCAATAATATAAGTAAAGCAAACAATGTACATATAATATAAATTCCGAGATTTGGAATATTGGGCCAATGAAGCTAAAAAGCTGATCAGACATACCATTACTCTAGAAAAAATAATACGGACTACATTGCGAATCCCTATATCCTTTTTTTAACATTTATTCAGATTAAATAATTGTATTAGCATAGAGTATTTGGTAAACGTCACATATTTGTCACATATGGAGGTTTCTGCTCTCCAAAACACAACACAAACACTTCTCTGAAATATAAGAATTAGTTCTCTCTATTAGTTTATGTAAGTCACTACAGGTCTTAATTAGATAAGTATACATTATGCTGTAGCCCGTGGGAATATCTGCTTGTAATATCCATTTTGAGGGTTGATGAACAGTACTTGGTCGTCGGAATTGAGAAGTGGTTTCAGGACGTAGACCCGGCCGTTTTTGGAACCCAATATACATGTGTTTTGAATGCGTGTTATCACTAGAGGCATGTGCAGTTGTCATGATGAGGTTGTAGAGAAAACATTTAATATAGCAGTATTTGGATTCTTTAGATAAAATTTAAACTTTTTATGTGATTTTTATTTTATAAAATTGGCGGAATTGGATACAGTTCGCTGAATGAAGCTGACGAGATTTTTAATTGAAACTAGATGTGTTGTTAAGATGTGTCATTTTTGTTCTTCTTGAACTGACAAATAATAAATTTTTAGTGCGTTTTTTATTACTAATTGATTTTAAGTAATTATTATATATATGAATGCTGCCAGTTTTGCAGTTTATTTGGCTTACCGGGATTTGTGTTCATATAGAATTGAATAGTCTTTAAGAAAAACCAAAATAATTTTATTAATACAGTTTTTTTTAATTGCAAGTGGTCAGGGTTTTTATCTCACACAGAGCAGTTGACATTCATTTATGGAGTTCACATTAACACATACACATGTAGAGTCGAATCCACAAATTGATTTGTAGAACCCTCGATAAGTTTCAAACAACAAGACAATCTTCAGTTAGTATTGTAAACGATAAAATGTTTGATTACCTTGAACTATATGAATGAAATTATTTATTCATTAGATTTGCTTTTTTTTCCTATTTTAATTTTAAGAATATATATTTTGGAATAACCAAATTTTTATGTAATGCTTGCTATTTGCTTCTACTGGTTGTTCTTAAATGAAATCCATTTAATTTCAAAATCTCAATCTCTTAAATACATATATTGATCTATCTATCTCTCTTGACATTAAATTTATTGATCTATATTTATATTTCTAGCAAAAATGATTTAGGCGGTGGGGTCATATTGGATTTGGGCATTTATGCTATACAAGTATCACAATGGGCTTTTCAAGAACCACCAGTAAAGATCGTAGCTAACGGCGAAGTAAATACTGAGGGTGTTGACATCGCAGTAAATGCTGAATTACATTACACACGCAATCGTATATCAAAAATTTCGTTGAGCGGAAAGAAACAGTTGGATAATAAAGCTATTATAAAAGGTACCAAAGGTGAAATAACTGTAAGTGAAAAAAAAATCCTTAAAGCTATGTACATGACACAGTGGGTTAAACTGAAATTATTTATTTTTAGTTAATTAATTTTTGGTGTCCCATTAAGATCATCGATATTGATGGAAAGGAACGTGAATGGGTATTGCCACAAGGCTCACATCCAACTAATTTTTTGAATTCTGAAGGTTTGAGATATGAAGCGGAGGCAGTGCGTCAGGCTTTAATTAATGGTAAAATAGAAAATGAAACTGTTTCACATAATGACAGCTTGTTATTTGCTCGCATTGAAGACGAAATAAGGCAACAAGTTGGTGTGGTTTATAACGATGAAAAAGTTAATTGAAATGTCTTTTGTTATATGTCTTCAGTTTTTTTTTAACTTCTTTTGTGAAACTATCTTAACGTTTCCTTTATTAAATACAAATATTGTGATCACATTTAAAAAAAAAACCCTTTGAGAAAATGTTTATAAGATCTTATTGTTTTTATGTATGCAATGATTTTTAACTATTATTATAGTTAAAAATATTTTTACAATGTATAAGTCGCTTAATTTGTGAGCTTAAAACAATATATCTTAACGATTTTTATGTATTTTATTATTAAATATATGTGCACTGTGTAAAATTTTATAAAATTGATGTTTAAAATTTTAATAAAATTGTAATTGTAAACATTGTAATTGTTAAACTTTATGTAAATAATAAAAATTAAAAAATGTAAGGAATTTTCTTTAATTGTAAGTTTAAACGCATAGTATTATAATAAGAGTTGTAAAATGCCTTTGAATCACCACCACCCTCGTCGTGTGGTTCCTTTTATGTTGTCTGCTCTCCAGATCACTGCGGACTACCACAACAGCAACAATATAACAATATATATATAGATGCCACAATAATATTTTTTTTGCATTACTTTATCATAATTATTCTATTATTATACGCATTTCTAATAATAGTATCTAATGCCTTAACATAATTTTCTTATTTCTCTATTAATATTATATATTAATACA